TGTATTAACCATGTCACGTAGACCATCAGTAGGGGTGTGAATGAGATGGTAAACATGTATTAACCATGTTACATAGACCATCAGTAGGGGTGTGAATGAGATGGTAAATATGTATGAGGTAGTGTCAGATAGACAAACAGTAGGATGTGTGAATGAGATGGTAAAACAGTTTTAAGCAATGTCACGTAGACCATCAGGTGACCAAATACATTTTCAAAACTTACGCACTTACTTTTACATACGTAACAGATAAAATCCGCATTAACAGAAAATTAAAAAAGAAATTGGTAGATAAGCTAATACTAAACAAACCACCACGTCATCTACAATTTTACGCAGTTATTGTTCTGTAATGAATCCATCAACTAGCAAATCTTCAGTACCAAATATATTCTTAAGAATGTATCAAACCTTAATGATGGATTACGAAATAAAATGCAGGCAAACTTTCGATTACCCAAAATATTCTTACATTATTATTATCTGTTTGCACATGTGTACAGTATACTCATAATACAAGAAAATCGACATGTGTTTTCAGAAGTGTACGAGAGAGAGAGAGAGAGAGAGAGAGAGAGAGAGAGAGAGAGAGAGAGAGAGAGAGAGAGAGAGAGAGAGAGAGAGAGAGAGAGAGAGACAGACAGACAGACAGACAGACAGACAGACAGACAGACAGACTTACATTTTTTTTAAGGAATATGCGTATTTTAAACTTAAAATGAAAACCAAAATGAATCCAAATCCAGACGCCATTGCTGTTGAGCGCCTTTCGGTCCAGGCTCTGTTGGTACACTGTTAAAAACACTGTATGTGCACTTTTGACGAAAGACATGGCGTGTTGACAAATTAACGCAGTGAGCAACTGGACAGGGTGACAAGCGTGTGGTCATTCTATGTTAAAGACAGTTATTAATCCTGGTCCATAAATATTAACACTATAATATTATTGTCCACTTTGTACGTGACTATTCTTCAGACGTCTGGGAATTACACCAATGTAAAGAGACAACGTCAATCCATCACAAACTCTGCAAAAGACTTAATTAGTGGTAACGATTTATTTAATCAATTTAATTTAGAATCTATTTAAATCAGTCTGTGATTCATTTTGCGGGTATTATCAGTTAAAATAAAGATCACCACCAATTTATCTCCATTTAGACAGAAAAAAGTTACCAGACAGAATACATGAGATCTGTTTGGAAACATAATTAAATCAAGATACTCATCACTGACCTTACTTTTGCCGGTTTTATTATTATTTTATATGGAAATATTAAATATGGAAATATGACATATGGAACATCGTGATTTTTTAAGTATTGTCAGATTGTAATAATATTGTTCAACATCATACATTTTATTGTATTACAATTTTTGGTCACATGCCAATGATATAGAAAAACAACATATATATGTACTGTTATAACTGGTATGTTATCAAAGAATTTAATTAATAATTTTAAATTTCCGAGTGCTATTCATTGCACTACCTTTCATACTATCCAGTCGCTTATTAAAAGAATTGAAAATATCGATACGCTAAAAATTACTATAAATAGTCGAGATTTTATCTATTTCAGGTCGTAATCATAAAAACATGACAGCTCCGGTGGCCTTAGTGGTTACGGCGTCCGCTTCGGATGAGGGGGTCGCGGATTCAAACACCGGACGAGTCATATTAAAGATTTATAAAAGTAGTACTTGCAGCTGCCTCGCTTGGCACTCAGCATTAAGAGGTTATTGCTAGGACAGGTCAGCCTGGTGTTAAGATAATGTGACTTGGTGGGACATGATGCTATATGTCTGCGATACGATGCTCCAGTACTAAACATCACTATAAAATACAACACAGCAGACATCGTAGCGATATGACTAAAATTGTTAAAGCTACATTAAAATCAACAAATACTCACATTAATTTAAAAATGGAAATAAACCATCTTGTAAAACAGATTGAGACGGATTACAGTGAATGACTAACAATTAATCCACAAGTGGTCATAATATAAACTTTTGTGTGTGTGTGTGTGTGTGTGTGTGTGTGTGTGTGTTCAAGTGAAGATGAATTTTGAATATGGCATCTAGAGACTCTATGTTGTTTGTTAAAAGAAACATTTTGGACACACACTTGATAGATTATATTCGATAAATTATTTTCTAGCAAGTTCGAACAGTTCTGAGAAGTCATATTTTCACATGGTTACTTAGAGTGTAGCCTCAGAAATTATTGATTTAGAAAGCCAGTATTTTTAATGTTTGTAGGTGCAAATACACGATTTGGGCACATGTTTATTTGAGTAACAGAACAGTTTATTTGGCACTTAAGTTATGGATATCAAACACTGATCCATGGCAATGATATGATATGATTTGGATATTCTCATTCTGATGGATATCAAACACTGATCCATGGCAATGATATAATATGATTTGGATATTCTCATTCTGATGAATATCAAACACTGATCCATGGCAATGATATAATATGATTTGGATATTCTCATTCTGATATATCAAACACTGATCCATGGCAATGATATAATATGATTTGGATATTCTCATTCTGATGGATATCAAACACTGATCCATGGCAATGATATAATATGATTTGGATATTCTCATTCTGATGAATATCAAACACTGATCCATGGCAATGATATAATATGATTTGGATATTCTCATTCTCATGGATATCAAACACTGATCCATGGCAATGATATAATATGATTTGGATATTCTCATTCTGATGGATATCAAACACTGATCCATGGCAATAATATAATATGGTTTGAATATTCTCATTCTGACCAATAACGTTTTCTTTGTTTCCCAACCATGATAATGAAACATAAAATGACCAAATTTTGTCCTTACATTAAGAAAAGACACAATTCAAGTAAAACGGTAAAGAAAAAATACAATTTAAAACTCCGCATGCTAAAAATAATTGCTAGCTTTGCTACAAGGTTACAATTTCACGGACTCATACGTCATTTCCGCCTAGTTATCTATCATCCTTTATCACACTTCTATAATATGCGGTATACGAAATTTATAAATAAATTAATAAGCAAATACATTTAATTAAGATATAACCCTTGCAATGATCTATGGTTTACTACTACATTTATCCATATATGAAAAACACTAAATAATTAAGCTACACCGAGGTTTTTACGCTAGTTATCACAAGCTACACATGATATTTTAGCAATGAAAATAAAAAGATGTGGACTCACCTGGAAAATTCATAACATATACTCCATTAACCAGTAAGGCCGTGATCTCAGTTTTATTTTCATATCGTAATATACCTGATTATTAAAAAATTGTTTTATTTTAGAGACTTCTTAAAATACTTGTGTTTGTTGTGGATTTTTTTTAAAAAAAAAGATTAATTGCTATTTTGTCTCAGTCCATATTATCTTTGCAAAAGATGCCAAATTTGGAAGAATCTATATATATATATATATATATATATATATATATATATATATATATATATATATATATATATATATATATATATATATATATATATATATATATATATATATATATATATAATATTATTGTCCACTATGTACGTAACTATTCTTCAGACGTATGGGAATTACACCAATGTAAAGAGATAACGTCAATCCATCACAAACTCTGCAAAAGACTTAATTAGTGGTAACGATTTATTTAATCAATTTAATTTAGAATCTATTTAAATCAGTCTGTGATTCATTTTGCGGGTATTATCAGTTAAAATAAAGATCACCACCAATTTATCTCCATTTAGACAGAAAAAAGTTACCAGACAGAATACACGAGATCTGTTTGGAAACATAATTAAATCAAGATACTTATCACTGACCTTACTTTTGCCGGTTTTATTATTATTTTATATGGAAATATTAAATATGGAAATATGACATATGGAACATCGTGATTTTTTAAGTATTGTCAGATTGTAATAATATTGTTCAACATCATACATTTTATTGTTTTACAATTTTTGGTCACATGCCAATGATATAGAAAAACAACATTTGTATATATTTTGTTAATTTCAATATAAAACTTGTATGGTCAATCTTCATCCTTTTCATTAAAGTGATAATAACTATTTTTACATATTGAATTTCATGTAAAATTAACATTTGTCTTGATCTAATAATCCCACAAATTATTAATGCTTGCCCTTTACTTTACCTTTTTATGAGCTTTCAAGAAATTATCGCTAGAGATAAATTTGCCAAGGAATTATGATCACTCTGTGTTGTATACTATTGATATGTTAGGAATAGTCTACAAGATCCTGATATGCTTTTAATGATGCCATGGTGAGGTATTTATCGAGAATATTTAAAATTATTGTTGTGTATTTAGGCCGTGGAGAGAACGTATGTACCTGCTTACAAGCCCGGTACAAGTACAAATTCCAGGCATAAAGGCAAGGAAAATAAATTTATGTGCAGTTTGTTTAAAGTAATCAGATGGAAATTTTTTTTCATGATATATAAGTGCATTAAAGTGCATTAAACAATGTCGTATCTGGATCTATGTTGTGTGAAATTGCGCTCGATTTATAAGAGAGTATACACTGATATTTGCCTAATTACATTCGTTATGGCAAGTCACTGTTTCTATGGCAATTTGATAAATAGCAGCGGCTCGGGAATAGGTTACCTAGGTAATATCCAACTTGATGATCATTGTTTATAAAGATATTTTCTGGGCCTAAAATGTCATGAACAGAGATGTGAGTATGTGATGTGAGTACGATTTTTAACGTAGCTTTAACAATTTTTCAATATATCACTACGATGTCTGTTGTGCGGAATATTGTGATTTCTAGCACTGGGACATCATACAGCAAACATGTAGCATGATGTCCCACCCAGTCACATTATCCTGACAACAGACCGATCAGTCCTAACACTAACATCTTATTGCTGAGCGTCAAGCGAGGCAGCTGTTAGTACCATTTTTGTAAAGTCTTTGGTATGACTTGGCCGGGAATCGAACCCACGTCCTCCCACGTCCGAAGCGGACGCTCTAACCACTATAGGACCTCTGGAGCGGTTATTAGAATAACTATAAAAGCATGTCAAAATGAAAATCCGTTTAAAGCTGTTAGTGTATAAACGCAAATATCATCTATTAGCATTAATGTATTTTTAAGAGGTTTGTTTTGACTTGAATTATATTTTATTCACAAGGTTTTTTTTAAATATTGTTTTCACCAGCTATTGACATCATTTGGTGCAGTGCTAAAGACGTGACCCAGTTCAATAAGAAGAAGAAATAACGTTCTGCCGACGAAACAGATGTCAACTACCTATAACATAATAATATTACATATCTTTTCGTTAATTTCTTATTTAGTTATGTGTCATCACTTTTACTGGTATCTGCTTTATTTTTTGTTGCTTTTTAGTTGGCAACAGACAAATTTCTGCAATATATATATATATATATATATATATATATATATATATATATATATATATATATATATATATATATATATATATCTTACACCACTAAATTAAAAACCACACAAATTGCACAATCTATTATATTTCTGATGAATTGTTATAAAAAAGAGTTTTGCTTGATAAATTAATTTTAATAAAGCATGTTACTATATTACATGGATTTCCAACATGGTATATATTCTTTGTATGATGTATTTAGTCAAGATAGTGTTATTACCTTTCATGTTGTTAGTAACTCTTTGAGTTTTAGTCATTTTTGCGAGCGCTATGTTGCTCATGAAGTAAAATAATGTACCATGTAACTGTTATGTAACTGAAGGTATGAGGTTTTCTACAACAATCAGTGAAAACTATTTCAGTATTCAGAAAACTAAACTTGTGCTTGTGTAGAAACTAGTTTTTTTTTCGTTTAGAGTTCTCTTTGTTGTGATTTTGTCAGACACTTTTGCTTGTAATTTCAAATAATATGGTAGTTAGATATGATAATTTGTAGTAACAAGCAAGAATATTTATAATTTGGAAGGAACAAACATGAATATTCATAATTAAATGGAACAAAATTTTCATAGAAAGTGGTATTACACGAATAACAAAAGTCCCTTGAAGGGACTGACTATATTATTGGAGAAAGGGATTTCCAAGAATTAAAGATAAGTCCATTTCTTCCATTTAACTGCTGTGTGCTTTCTAACATTCTTCAGAGATAGCAAAATTTTCAATTGGCTACTGCGGTAGACATTGTAAATTTCAGGTTGTCACCAGTTGTTTCAACTATGAGCAATTATACATGATTTGAAGACTTTTGGTCAAAATGCCATGTTTGATCATACATTGAGGTGGAGTAATGACAATAAGATTTTCATGGAAGATATAACGGGTGTATGGCTAGCACCAGTTTGCTTTGGACCCAACTCGGTATTATAAATCTACTGGTGAAAAAAAAAAAACCATGCTGATATAGCCATCCATTTTGGAGTAGAGACAACACTATTTTTCAAGACATCAACCATTGTGGCTATATTGAGGTTTAGTCGTTTCACGAAGGACCAACTAGACACCATACGAAACTCCTGGGTTGAATACACCACATTATAATGACTTTCCATTTATGCGGAGTGGATAAAACACAATTTCTGAGATGGCCACATACTGGACGCCAGATCAGAGCCATTTTAATGTAAGATCAACAAAAGAATCTAAGAAGTTTTTTGGTCAAAATCCCATTATGTTTTGACCATTCATTCAGTAGAAGTAGTGAAAACAAGAGTTTCAAGCTGCCCATTGTGTTTTGACCGTTCATTCAGAAGAAGTAGTGATAACACGAGTTTGAAGCTGCCCGTTGTGTTAGCATATTAGACCCCAGATCAGCACCAGTTTCATCAAGTACACGTCATAAGAAGCCTTTTGGTGAAGACTAGATGGCAATAATACTTATAGGTTTTTCAAGATGGCTCCTGTAAGCGGCCATATTGTTCGGCAGATCGGCATTAATATTATTAAGGACCAACTAGATATCAAAAGAAATCTTTCTGTAAAACCTAATTTTGATATGACCATCCATGTAGGAGGAGTAGCGATGACAATATTTTAATCGCTGCCAATGTTGGACACAAAATCATGATCATTCCGAAGGCTTTAACTGATATCATAAAGAAATCTTTCAGTGATAACTCCATGTTGATATTTTCATCCAATCATGAGAAGGAGAGACATCAAGATTTTCAAAATTGCTGCATTGGTAGTCTTATTGGACATCAGACTGGCAACATTGTCTTGCAGGACTAATTACACATGAAGTCTTTGGAACAAAACATGTCGACATCAGTCCATTCAGGAGAATTAGAGATAATAAGTGTCTCGTGATAGCCGCTGTGGTGCCCAGATTGGATGTGGGAGCAGAACCATTTTCGTCTAGGTAATCGAGACCTTTGGATTAATGCGTTGAAAGGATTCATTCTGTAAAGCATTGTCGTAAATTAAATCCCTTTGCATGAAAATAAAGAAATATTGCAATCACAGAAAGCTCATGTTCATTATCAGCTGATTCAGTATCCAGGACACTTGTAAATCTGCTTAAAATAAAATGTATTTTGCTCATACAATTCCCTTAGAAATGCATCTTAAAAGCGAAAGTTAGATATTAAGACAAGCTTTATATATGAAGACAGTCCAAGATCATTTGTCCATTTGTCAAAGCCAAAGTATTCAAAGTCGGATAAGATTTTATTTTTTCTTTGCATTTATATTTTCCACTCTGTCTTCGTTTATATCTAGAAATACTGGCATACATTGGTATTCTTAACTCTGCACCCTGCATGCAACAAAAGCGTGGTGTAAACTAGAATTTTCTTTATAAAATGAAACAATCCATTTTACGTTCTCCATGATCCTCATTTTGTCTTACTACTTGACTGCAATGAGTACAGTGTTTGAGGACATATGTAGATAATTATATCTGTAGCTTTAATCACAGGTTGTGAATCCGATATGTCTTTTCTCGTAGGGCATAAACTAACGTTGACTAGGACATGTCCTCCATATTTGAAATTGTTTGTATGTAATATTAATCAACAGTTCCTTCTGCTATAGTAACAAACAGTACCGCCCTTCTTATAGAAGATATATTTACTTCCGGGACATGTTTACAATGATATAATGTAAATCAGTCACCCCAACAGTATCCAAGTCTCTTCTGGGACAATGGAACCGAACGAGTATTGTTTTAAGTCTAGCTTAAGTCCTAAGCTTTGTTTAAGATTTGAAGCCAATGCACAAAGCAGGTGTATGCTACGCTAGATTTAAAGTAAAATTACAAGATCTTAAACACTGGCTGCACTATATACTTGGAAGCATTGACGTGCCGACGAATGTTAAATCTGGACGACACTATGTAAGTGAAAGTATGGCCGTGTTGACAGGAGTTAAACATGGTCACACATTATAACAGGAAATATGGACGTGACAGATGTTAAACCTGGACACATTGTATAAGTTGAAGTATGGACATGTCAAGAATCGGATTCAAACTTTTACTGATATTTCTTATATCAAAGTCTCTGACAAATTTATTGTACGCTAGCGTTTCAACAAACGGTTATAGTTTTAAATCCCGTCTAGTCAGGAACTGGTTATGAATATTGTTTCTGGTGGTCAGTTTTAAACTCTCGTCATTTATAACCAGTCTAATATAAATTGTCTTTGAATCTCAGAGTGGCAGCATATCATTTCGAAATCGCCATGCTCAAGACCGGTTTAGATTTTGAACAGTCTCAGCATACCGTTATATAAAACTCGTAATCTTTCCAACTACAACCGTCATCAGCTCTTCTTATAATTATACCAGTGGCCGTTCATATTATTAATTTTTTGATTTTTCAGGACGAAACGCTTGACCTGTTCCTGAGCGTGAATAATGTCAAGTAGTGTCTTTGTGAAGAATCTCCAACGTAGCTGTTGTAAATTACGAACGAAGATAACCACCGGTAGTATGGTTCATAACCCATCGCAAACTTGACCGCGTTTCAACAAGCTAGCATACTAGACAGCTTCAATAAGATATTCTTTGGATTAAACCTATATCTTTATTTAGTTTACCTATCCCCCATCTCGTTTGATTGCATCTATTTAATAGGGAGTTTTTTGGAAGGTTCAATCCGTAAAGTTGTCAGACCAATTCTATTCAATTGCGATCGCTGTCAGAAACAGGAGTTATCCCATTAATCAGGTATATTGTTTTTTTTTATACAAATTCATAACCAAGGAATCACGCTGTTTACCTAGATTTGCAAGGTCACTCGTTTGTAAGAAACATAAGACTGAGTACGTTATTTTCTTTACCTATACACTCTTTATTCTTTTTACATAAATTCACTAAAATAGTGCATGTATTAATAACATAAAATAATGGGATTTAAGGAAACGTACTTCATACCGAGGTATGGCACACTGTAGAACAATGTATTTCATATGGATACAACAGCAGTGCATACTTAAATATGGTGATTGTATAACAGTGTTCTTCATACTGAGATAAGGTGATTGTATATTGGCGTTTTCCGTACAAAAATAAGGTGATTATATAGCAGTGTACTTCATACTGAGATATGGTGATTGAATATTGGCGTATTTCGTACTGAAAAAAGGTGATTATATAGCAGTGTACTTCATACTGAAAAATGGTGATTGTATATTGGCGTATGTCGTACTGAAATAAGGTAATTATATAGTAGTGTACTTCATACTGAAAAATGGTGATTGTATATTGGCGTATGTCGTACTGAAATAAGGTAATTATATAGTAGTGTACTTCATACTGTGATATGGTGATTGTATATTGGTTTATTTCGTACTGAAATAAGGTGAATATATAGCAGTGTACTTCAGAGTCAGATATGGTGATTGTATATTGGCGTATTTTGTACTGAAATAAGGTGATTATACAGCAGCGTACTTCATACTGGGATAGGCTAATTGTTTAACAGTGTACTTCATACTGCGATATGGTGATTGTATATTGGTGTATTTCGTACTGAAATAAGGTGATTATATAGCAGTGTACTTCATACTGAGATATTGTGATTGTA